TCGGTCGCTTTCGTTTTTCTGTTAGGGGTGTGTTCTTGAGCAGAAACAGATTGTTTCACGGGAAGGAAACCCAAGTGTGTGAGGCAGATATAGAGCGAAGAGAAAACTGCTGTCGCCCACTAAAATAATAATAATAAATATATAACGTTAAAGGACTAAAACACGAGATCTACGGCATCAGTATCCACAGCACTTCACTTTGAAGTAACAGGTGAGTTGATGGCATATTAGATTAATGCAGCATACACTGTAAAAACTTTAACAGTTAACCTGTAACATTAACATCAAAACTAATAAGATCAACGAAGCAGCATATTTAATGGATAAGTCGGGTATAAATAGATCCTTAAAGTAGCAATTGCATGTTTACATCTGTTACAGTAAATATCCCTCTGAAATCATAGAATTGCCATATCATTGTTATGTAGGCTTACGTCATAGTTATGAATTTATGCGTAATATTTCTTCACTGAAGGCCTAGTAGTGGAAAGTAGTAGTAAATGATACCATTTTATTTATTTAGTTAGTTAGTACTGTAAGTATTATAATGATGTGGCTCACAGAGTATTATCTAAATAACTGACTGATTGTTTATTTGGTAATATTTAGTGTCCTTAAATGTCCTTAAAATAGAGTAAATGAATATAAAAGTATGAATTTGCTTTTTTCCATTTTATTTTTGGTGTGAATGCATTATGGTGTACTGATTACTTCGACTACAAAAGCTGCAGGTTATATCAATTATTAAAATGATAAACATAGTATGTTAACTATGTTACGGACCTGGAGTGGATTGTCCTAAAATGTGTTTAGGAAGACTACATGTGATTTGCGTTCTGTACCTGCGGTCCAACTTCCCAGTTATTTCCTGGTTAATTCCCGGGTGTTCCCAACCTGAATTTTGTGTGTTAATGCCATCCTGTTTGTTTTGTGGATTCATTAGCAATGAAAATCTTGGGCGGTCGAAATTCCATTCCCTACGAAGCATGGAAAAAAGAAAGAAAAAAAACATACAGGAAAATATTTGTTTAACTTGCTTTTCTGGTTTGCATGTTTACAGAGTGTTATTTGCAGTCTTCTGCCATGGCTACAAATAATGGTGAGTGTGTCAAACCTTATCAGCAGCAACCTGATTCTGACAGGACTGTTAAATTGCTGTTATACAGTATATAACTCAAAGAAACACCCTGGCTTTCACATGACAGTGAGAACAGTGTCAATTGATGCTCTTTGATACTCTTCTTTGATTCTCTTGATTTAAACCAGGTTACCCAATTGACCTCCAACCACAGAAAAATGCAATTCATCCCGCCCCTTCTTATAACCAGGGACCAGCTATACCAGGCCCAGGTAAGGGAATCTGAGGAAATTTCGATTTTTTTTTAATCTTATCTCCTGTTCTCACTCCTAATGTTCTTACCTTTGCAAGGTCAAGTGCTCATGATGCCAGTTCCACAAAGACCCGCTGGCTGCCCACCAGGATTGGAGTACCTGACCCAGGTAGAGCTTTTCTGCTGCGTATGAACAGCACAGTATGCCACTGTAGGCAGAGATGGTTTTTTTCTTTCTTCGTGTGTGTGTGAAATGAGATAGTGTCTTCTCAGGAAGTGGTGTTTCAGCTTGCATTGGTTTCCTGGGCTTTGAAATGATACAGTAAATGCCCCACTTATTGGAAGAACTGTGTATTACTTGTGAAATACTTTGGAAACACTTCACAAAAATGAATATCATGCAAAGTTCTAAAGATGCTTTTCAGCATTTATTCCCTTTTTACAACACAGATTGATCAACTTCTTGTACAGCAGAAAGTTGAGCTGGCTGAAGGTAATTTTGTGATGTTTGTTTTAGTTTTTTTTCACTGATATTATTTGAATACTTTGCATGGTTTTAAATTTAATGACTATTATAAAACGGTTCCTTATCATAGTTCCATTCCTCGATTCTGATTGGTCGACATAATAGAAATTAACTGACCCCGGTTACATTTGCTTGATCATACAAGCTTTACACATTGTTAAATCTCTCCCATCTAGGTTTGGGGAGCTAATAACAAAGTAAAGAAAAAAAT